GGCGCCTGACACCCGCGTCGTACGCTTCGTGCAAGGTGTACAGACCGCCTAGCCTCAGCAGGACCGAGGCTTGTGGGGCATGGTATTTAAAGGGTTCATTCAACCTTCGCATCTCTTTCGCGTGAAAGCACTGGCATGGAAGCGGAGTACAATTGAATGATCTCTGAACTGATCTCCGAACCTGCAAGTGCCAGTCAATCCGCTGTGACACGGCGAACTGCTGCCACCGCATCTCATACCGTGTTACGACGTCGTGGCTGGATGATCACGATAAGTTGCAACGGCATGGAAACGTGAGGCCAGTAGCGCGTTCTACAGTGGATGGATTTCCGTCGTTCGTTCGTTCACGTGCGAATTGACAAACACCGTGCCATTGACAATACGATACATCCGGATAAAATCGTTGGGTTGAAGCCACCAGGCGCCACGAACGAAGACTTGACGAACGAGTTGGCGCACGCCAAGGCGGTCCTGCCACATCCTGCAAGACAAGCTCGAGCGATAGAGCCTTGTGCGACAAACCACTGCAGTAAACCACCGACGGATGCCACCAAGGCGTCGTTCCCTTCCCAATGATGCCGCTGGTCAGTTACAGAGTTGTGCGAGGCAAACTATAAAAAGGTGTCATGAAACCGAGCGCTTAACTGCCCAAGTCAGCTCAACTGCACAGCCTTGGCGTCGGCGCGGTGCATGGTCAACTATGTACTCGCTGCAAGTCAAGTCGAGGCTGAGCAACAGTAGCAGCTCCAGCAACGGGTCCAAGTCGATCCAACTCGAGGGGACGTCCGGACGTCACGACGAGTCGTCCGTCCATTACGACAACGACGATGACTTGTTGGAGGACGAGGAAAACTACCATGACTCGGGCCGACCGCTGACGCCGCAGTCGTGGGTCCAAAAGATAGGATCTGCTATGTTTCAAAAGATCAAGATTGCCCCCAGCACCGAGTCCCCCGTGATTGTGGTCAAGCCAGCCCCACCCGTACAAGCAACATCACCGGCGTCGCAGTATTCGTCCACTCGTTCGACTCCCACTCCACCCCGCCCCTCGAAATTCCAACTCCAAATTGACACAGATCCCGTCGTCGAGACAAGGATAGCCATGCCCTCCGCATCTGCCTTCGACGAGCCAGCAGGTGCTCCATCACATCCGCGGGGGTCGTTTGGACAACACCCCATCGACTTCATTAAAGTGTACTGCAGCCCGAAACGACAGAACCAATCTCCAAAGATTCAGCCGCAGCGGAATACCCCGGCTGCCTCCACGCCCCCCCGTCGAGCTGATGTCAAGCCCTCCGTTAGCCAACACGATCATGATGACGACCTCGATGTGTCTCCCTCAAAACGCCCTGAAGTCCGGGGAGACGTCGTTCCCGTGCTCCAGAGTTTCTTTGCCCGCCCAATGCCTTCCAAAGACAGGAAGACGTCGGTCCACACAATCGACAAGATGATTCACCGTCAGGAACAGTACAAGCGAGACTTGGCACGCCAAGACCAGCTCCGCGCGTCTGCCGCGTTGTCAGCCCACAACCGCACCGCCCAACCAAACGATGACACAGCGCAATGCAAGCGGGAAGTGCTTCGAAAGCATGCGCGATCTCTCAAGCGGCAGCGGATGGCCGACATTGCTGCCGCCAAGCAAATACTGCAAACACGGGACGAACAAAATCGACGGTATTTTAGAGACGCTCGCGAATCATGGGAAGGCGCATTTGAGGACGAGGTAGCGGCGCTCGCGGGGGCGTTTGCCAAGGCAAGTTGCCGCCACGCGAACGACCTCCGGCCAATGACGACGGCGGGTCTTGTCGTCCCAGAAGCGCAAAGTCAAGTCGAACGGGACAAAGTGCTGCTCCAGCAACGGGCTCAGACGGCTCCAACCAAGCAAGTCCAGGTGACTTACAACCACACGAGGTCTGCGTCACCCGTGGTGGAAACCACCGAAGAAGGCGACGACTCGAGTCCAGGCACGTCCCACCAAGCACAAGAGGTGGGTTGTGCCAGCGGCTACGACTGGCTCGAGCGATCGCATGCAGTGGAAATGACAGGTCCGGACCAAGACATTGATGGGAGGATGTGCCACGGCAAACGAGACAGACTTGATGGAGAGGCTGGAACAGTATTCGACATCTCTCGACCAGCGATGAACGACACCACGCCAGGATAGACCAAAATCATAATAGAGGTTAGACCACATGAATGTCTTCCTTCGGCAGCACATGCTTCTCGACCGACCATCCGCCTTGCAGTTTTTCCGTGCGAACGGATTCGCCTGCGGGTAAGAACACGTCCATTTCTGTCGACAACGTGTCGTTCGAGCAATGGACTTCAAGTTCTTCTAATGCATATCCGAGCAGCTGCTCCTTAATCGACCTACGTAATGCGGGAATATCGTGAGCACGAGAGCCTGCGCGCACGTCGTACTCGGGGAACGAGATGTTGACGGGAAGCAGCCAGTGGAGGGAAGGTTTGCTGGAGGATCCGCCAAACACTTCGCGGACGCCAAGGTTTTCACTTGTTTCACCCTTCAGCCGATCGATTTGGGTCGTGCCAGTCGTGATGACGCTGTACTGATCGCACATCATGCACATGGTGAAGAGTCCAAACAACACGGCCTCCATGCACAGACACACGACGTGCATCACTACAACCAAGGGGGACATTCCAATATGAGTTGATCCGAGTACTGGATATGCATCGGGATCGACGTACGGCCGTTGCTGGCACACCTGTGGAACGAACAAAGTGAGGTGGTGTCGGCACGACAAAACGAGTCACGTCGTACGTGTCGTCGATGCAATGAGCATAGCGGGTAAACACCAGGCTGAGCGCGTAGATGGCCAGAACGAAGACGTAGAAGATGAAGAGCAAAAAGAACTTGTGGTTGCCCAACCCAACGCAGTTGTTCACCCATGGGCAGTGGTGATCCATCTTGATGACACACCGCTCGCAAATGCTGCAATGATGGGCTCTTGCCGGCTTGAAGATTTTGCAACGCCGACATGTGCGAAATCGCTGCTCCTCCAGCCTGGTGAATGCGGTCGTGAAAACACATCGACTTCGACCAAGGTCGGTTGCAGTACCTGTTGATCTCTTCCTTTGTCGCGTGCTTCAAGGCCACTGGTATGGCGTCTTCAGGAACAGACCCCGGGTCAGTCAACATGGCTGCGTTACCAAGGGATGGGTTGATTCAGTAAGGAGGGCAGTTCATGATGGAACTACCTTTTCCATGGGAAACGAGGGCCAAGAAGCATACTGTCGTGAACAAGCATATGTGGAGAAGGCCGAAGAAGCCTAGTCCCATCCAAGGGTAGATGACAACCCCCTGCGCAACGTATGAGCCCAGGTCAAGTCACGTGCCATCCGCACTTACGACGACAACGTATTCGGCATACAGAACGAGGAACCAGGATATCACCGCGCAAACGATGCCACATGCATCCCAGTTGCACCACACTTTGGCTCGGAAGCTCGTGCCGCATTCATTTCCGTGCTTTTTCCGGTCGCTCGCCATGCTGACACCGACCGCCGCGTTCGCTGTGCGACGGAACAAATCCAGCAAGGGACCGAGAGTTCCTCGAAAGTGCGGCTCGTATAAGTATGACACTACTTTAACTGGATTGGCTGTTTTCATCAACTATAACGGAGTATGATTGGTTAAAAATGAAATTCCATGTTCATATTCAACTCCCCCAACGATCATCAACCATGGCGTCCGAGCCAGCCTGGGCGTGCGTGGCATCGTCGGCATTTCCTCTCGTATACTCGTACAGCAAGGAGCTGACGCTGGGAGGTCAGAGCAGTCGTAATTTGGAGAAAGACCACAGCAAGCTCATCCAAGCGCTCGAGCAGCAACTCAAGGTGAAGGGACGTAGTGCCGCCAACAAAGCCGAGACACTGTTCTTTTACAGCCATTTCCCGTTTCTGACGTCCATGGAGCTTGACTTGGTACTGCTGCGGTTGTCGGAACAGTTTTGTGCATCAACGTATGGAGCCTTCGCATGGTTCTCGTCACTGATCGCGCGTGATTCTCTTAGGTCGTCGACGAGTTTCCGCGTGGCCATTCTGGCGCTCATTCGACGCCTTCAAGTCCATTTCCCGGGCAAATCGATCACCGACCCTAGCAAAGTACTTCTATCGCTTGAGTTTGTCAACCATTCCATCACGTAAATCATGTAGATTACGACCCCCTTTGCGCAGCTCGTTGCTCAGCACGACCTAGTGGAGACACGCATCCTCACGTTGCAAGTGCTTGCCATTCTCGCTCCTTTTGCCCGCGATGACCAGACCGTTCATAGCTCGTAATTTCCGTTCATGGGTGATTGTGGTGTCACTTCGAGTTGTCCATCCGTGTAGAGTACTCAACGCAATCGACACCACAGAAGAGGCGGAAGCAGCGGCGGCCGTCAACACGGCACTGGCATTGCTTCCTCACTCACCTTCGTTTCAACATCTTGCAGCGCAAAAGTTCTTGTCGGCGCCTCTTGAGCTTCACGTTTTACCTCTCTTGCCACTATTGTGTGACTCGGTTCCTGAGGTCGCCCAACAGGTTCGTCATTCGCCCGTTATCCATCTCCATGTCACCCGAACGATGGTTGGGATAGCAATACGCCAAGTGCCACGAATTCCTCGACGTACGCCACACCTCCATGCTGTGCAATTCTCTGATGTGTAACATGGTCTACGCAGCGTGGCATCTTCGTCAATGACAGTGGCACGGTCGAATTCGCCAGCGCCCGGTGGTCGGCCCCAATTTTACTCACCATGACTCGACTGGCCTCCCTTGGGCCACCCTGTCTTCTCGAGAGTTTGGTACATTTCGAGCTTCTTATGCCAAAATGGTCGTCCGTGGTTCACACGCTGCATTAGACTTCGCTGTTTCGTTCGATCTTGGTGACACCAAACAATGCGTCGCTTCAGCGCATCGCACTGCGCTGCTGCGTCCTCCTCATCCGCCCATCCACGTCGCCGCACACTTTGGATGACCTTCTCCACGTACGTCGTATGATTTTCAGTGGAACTGGATGGCAAGCTTTCCGCTAACAGCAGTTCCATCTTGGCAGCTGGTCACAGACAGCATCTTTCCCCATGCTGGGTCGAATGACGTGGACATCGACATTCTCTTGTTCCTTGAACGCTATACTCAACACCGGGCGCTCCCTGCGGACTTGAACCTTCCCCGAGCCGTGGTTGCTCGGCAGGCGGTACCGCATGCAACTCCAATTTTTGCGCGAGTCTTGCACAATCACGCCTGCCACGAACTAAAGAATGAGGGTGCTTCGTCCCTCGCCGTTGAATGTCTCGCGCAGCTGCTGTGGACAGCATCGCCCAAGATACAATCTGCAGTCATCCACTCGTTGGAAAGCCTCGCGGCGATGCATCCAGTCGTGGCCACTCATTTGACTTCACGCCTTGCCCAGACCTTGCTCGGCAACAACACAGTGGATGGCTCAACGGGTCGGTTGTGGGTGCTGCTGTCGCACTTGACTACAATTTGCCCGCTGCCTGACGAGTTTGCGACGGCCATCGTCGCCGCACTCCCATCGAAATGGATTACGGCGTCGAAGACGGCACTCGCGATGGCTGTCACGCTCCTGCGCTGCGGCTACACGGACGAATTCAAGCAACACTCTGGAATCCTTCCACCCGTCCCGTCATTTGAGGCGTACGAAGTCGCCCGAGAATGCATCCTCCATGGTGCGTTTGAAGTTGCAGCCGAAGTTCTTGCTGAGTTGACGCCTCAGTGCACTTCGGAGAGGTAGATTGTGACGCAGTTGAGCGATAGACATATTCTGACATCATTCGTGCATAGAACGGGACATTGGATGGCTGGACTGCATGCATGGACAACGGCGGAAGCTCTCTTTATCTCCCAGCCGTCCATTGTGCCACCGAATGGCCTGGTTCAGCTGCAGTCGGCGCTCACATCACTCCAAGCCGCAGCCACGTCGACGATGCCTTTCGTAGCCCCCCAAGCGTTCTTGACCTACCGTATTGGATTCTTTGCGACGCTAAATAACCTTTTCCAGGTTCGGTCGTGCAAGGAAGCTGAGTGAACTGACGAAGGACGCGGGATCTGTAGATGCTGTTTCAAGTTCAAATCGCAGGACTCGGGTCAGTCAAACGATTAGCTGACATCGCCGCTCAGTTTGCGTCGCACAGCGCGACTGTGATTTCGATTGGCAACGCAGCATGGAACCACGGCGATCTGCATCTCCTCGCTGCCCATGCACACCTGTGCCATGTGCTCCATGACACAATCCATCGCTTCTTGTTGGAACCATCCAACACCGCGATGACTGTACGCCCGTGGCCAGGAAGGACAGTGGATTCCCCCAGGGCTCCCTTCACCCCCCTCTGGCACTTTTGCAAGGGTTTGGACGCAGAATTGCCTCAAGTGTCCGTGTCATCCTCGATTCAGGATGCTGCTGCTCTCGTCGTCGACCTCGGACGCGCAGCCCTCGCTCTGCCATGCGCGATTCCAAGACAGCTCTTCCGCACGACATCCGTGCATGTGCCCAGCGACGTTCAGATTGTGTCGCCTGCCCTCAAGGTGATGAGCCGCAGTGTCATTGGCGTAGCCACCCACTCGAGCTGCCATGGCCACCTCCACGTCACATTGGACTTGCACCACGCTCGACAGGACAGTCCACTCAAGAACTACTCGAGCCGATCATGGCAACTGGTGTTTGAAGGCAAGATGGACAACGGGGTCGAGTTTACCACCTCCGTCGGGTATGCTGACGGCGTGATGGGGGGTGGTCGATGGCAAGGCACTCTTCCGCTCCACTTAAACGCCGGGGGATTTGGCGCCCAAGGCACGTCGAGTGCTCTCACCGGCCGCCTCTGGCTCGTTGACGAGACAAACTACGAGCGGTGGCTGGTCGCCGACCGGGCGCTCGAACGCACAGTTGTCGTTTACTAATATGCCATCCTTGGAATTGACAGAATGAACTGGCGCTTTGCGCGACGTTGTGGTTGTATTTCGATTAGTCAGAGTACTTGATGATCAAAAAGATGGTCGTGAGTAGCACCACCAAGCTGATGATGGTTGCCAGGACAGGGTACGAGTGCTTGCGTTCAACGACTTTGACGTGCGTCTTCTTCGACTCGACGGCGTTCGAGATGGCGAGAAACCACTTGCGTTGCCGTGGATCCTGGCTCGCCCACACCTGTCAACGAGCGAGCTCCTGAGTGAAGCTGGTCCGGTACTCATCGTTGGTGATGATCATCCCGAGGGTGTGTACCTCGTGTACACGGTTGGAATAGGAGAAGACGCTTTCATGGCGCTGTGTAGATGGATCCCAGCGATACACAGCTGGAGAGTTTGCACGAGCTTCTTGCGCTGGGAACGAGAGCAGTAGCACGAGGAAGATAGCTGCAAGTCGCCCGATCATCGTGGTGATGATTGCGAGTTTGGAATTCCACGACTCCCAATTGTCCTATTCTTAGCGTGCATGCAGGCTCGACCAGAGATTTGCTTAAGGTATTTTTGCGGTCATGCGGAGAATATTGCAGCTTTATCCGACTGTTCTAGCGGTAAATATCTTAACTAAGTATGCGACGTGGATTATGCGACCGGATTATACTTTTGTTTTGTATCGGGTCCACCATGATATGATCAACGAGCCGTCGTGCACCTCCCATTCCATCTCGGCGGCGTGCGTAATTCGTCTGCATGAGCAAGCCGCAGAAGAAGCCGCTTCAGCCATGGGCCGAGCAAATGATCGAGGCGTTCCACTTGGCCCCTCTGGATGATGATGAATACTTTGTGCAGTGGGAGACGGGTCGTCTGGGGGTCAATATCTCGGAGGACAAGGAGTCCGAACTCCCATATGTGTCAAAGATCACAGATGCAAACTCTCCCTTGGCGGCAGCCATGGAAGTTGGGGACTACCTTCTTTGCGTCAACGAACTCCGTGCGGAAGAAAACTCATTCAACAACTTTCTTCGCCTCCTCACGACGAAGCAGAAGCCGGTCTTGCTTCGCTTCCGCCGAGGTACGCATGCGAGTCGAAGTCGTATCCTTGCAAACCACGACGCAAAGTACCCAGCTCCAACTTCGTCATCCCTACAACGAAGACCTTCTAAAGACGATCAGCAGCTACCATCATCCTCCTCGCTTCGACCCATCTCGACCTCCGATAACGCTGCCAGCAATACCACGACCTCCCGTCTGTCGAGTCGACTATCGCCTTCGCTCCCATCAGCATCCACCATTGCGTCCATGTTCACTCGAGCGACTTCGGTACATCAAGGAGAAGCCACATCGCCGCCAGTGCCGCCCCAAGCCACTATTCCCCTCGTCGAACGGCGCCGAGCAACATCTATTCCCGAGAACAGGACATCACTGCCACCGCCCCCACGTCCCTCGGCAGCTTCCACCCCGTCACCCCCCTCCTCGTCTACTTCGACTGCTTTCCCAAGGAATCCCATCTCAACTTCGTTATCGTCTTCATCCTCGGACGACCCTGGCGCGTTCGTATTCTCATGGGTCGATGGCCCCCTGGGCGTTTACTTTGGGGAGGACGAAAACACACAACTTCCCATCGTCACGCGGACTCTGCCACACGCGTCGCCTCTCATTACGGCCAACGTTCAGGTGGGCGACACGCTCGTGTCGGCGAACGGCCTGCTCTCTCGGGACCATCCATTTGGAGAATTTTTTGCGGCGTTGCAAAAGATGTCGAAACCGATTCAACTCGTCTTTGCACCGTCCACGGCACCAGAATCGGATGACGAGAGTACTAGCGGTCGCCACAGCCCCACCCACTCCGATGACGTTATCGTGCGCGATCCCGTCGACCACGAGGCACACCGTCCACGTCCTCCTCCACCACCACGGTCCCCCGCAAGTCGCGTCGATCTCGGCAGCAAGGAACATGCGGCAAAGGGCGATGACCGCGAGTCCAAGAGTCCTGCGGCTGCTGTGTCGCCCGAGCAAGTCCTTCAGTACCCGCCACCATCCCCCAAAGCGGAATGCTCCAGTGGCGACGTCTCGTCACCCGCGGCGTCTGTAGCCGTCGCAGCTCCCGTGCCAGTGCCGGACGAGCGCCCCTACATGTCGGACGACGACGACGATGTCAAAGCTGCGCTATTGCATGGCCATTCCAATCCTGCGCACGCTTCTCGCGACGATGACGATGACGACGACGATGGAAACGTCATCACGGACGTGGATCTGGATCTCGAGCCTGCCGACGATGACGAGGATGACGACGCTGCAGACGCTGTGATGCCCACACTCGAGTTTATCAAAGGAGCCCCGCCGTCAACGTCCAAGCGCCAAGGCAGGGACAGCCCCACCCAAACGTCGTCCACGACGCCGCTCGCGCGCCCGACGACCCCTCTATCGTCTACTGCGAGTGGTGCCAGCAACAGCTCGAGCGGTAACAACGAGCGAACAGGCGGGTCGCGCCGCGGTCGAAGCGGGGGCAAGTCCAAGCGCAACTTCACCACACTCGCTCGCCTACCTCGCGTGAACGAGTTGGAAGAACAGACGATCGCCCTTGTGGAACCCAACAGCGTCAACATGAAACTCACGGTGCGTGGGCGACTCAAGAGCCAGCGCGTGTCCAAGGCAGACACACCCGACAGCTCCATGTACCTGATCAAGTGGAAGGAGAATCGAAGCATCGGCGTGCAGTTGCGCGAATGCCGCCTCGCCAAGGGCGTGTACCCGATGGTCGTGTTGGTGTGCCGGGAGGCGTGCTGCGAGTCGCTGCGGCACGTTCAGATCGGCGACCTCCTCGTCGAAATCAACGGCCGTGACACGGCCATGATGAGTGTCAAGAAAACGATCGCATTCGTCAAGACGTGCACGAAAACGGCGCTGCTCAAGTTCAAGCGCGGTCCTGGCATCTCCGTGTCCCGAGTCAGTGCCTAGTCGACAAGTATAAGGCAATCGACCAACGCCTTTCAATCGATGTGCTGTCTTCAAAGGACGATGCGTCGACGTGTTGTAGCTAGCCGCACGTCAGGGGACAACTGCGTCCCGTCCAGGTCACATGGGCTCTAGTCGTCGTTGCCGTTCGTCGAGTCTCCCCGGCCGCCACTCGGCTTCCCAGTTCATGTCGAGTTGCTGCAGAAAGATTATCATCTACGAAACAAACCTACACTTGGAGCTGGAAACACCGTCATGTAAACGCGGCATTGCCTCCCACCGGCAAAGCTCAGACGTGACAAGAGCGTTTTGTCGCGAATGCTTGACACGGCTCATGCTACAACCGTATTGCATGGATGCGCCGGACGAAATCGTTTGGTTGAAGTTGCTTGGGATGTCGACTTGTTGTGGTCGGGTCGTGCCGAATATATGCATTCGCAGCAGCGACACGATGCATGGGGGTGCGCGCCCCTCTCATGACGCAAATATTCGGCATGACAAGGGATTCTGCAATGGGTGCCCCCGCACGGGGGGAGGGGCGTGAACAGTCAAATCGAGTCGGGGGCTTCATCGACAACGCAGGTTCGTTCCCCTCCGCCATTTCCCGAGCGCCACGACAGGATCGATGGACACCCATGCCCTTGTCAGGCAGACACCTGCCTCGACATGGAGTCTACAACGCTGTTTCGTCGACCAAAGCCGGATTTCGCCACGCCCTCCTGTTTGTCTCATGCAACCGATGGTTCTCACGCCCCCGCTCATATTATTTTGGACTGCAAAACGGCAACTTGACCGTTGCGTCTTATGTGTAGTGACTTTTCGATGGTGGAAGTGGACAAACGCGTCAAAATATACTACTGTATATGCCATCATTGGACAATTGGTTCGGAACACAAATACGCATAGTAGTCACGCCATCTTCTTGGTGGCCTTTCGATCCACTGAGAAGATGTCGCTTCTTGTTCACTCGCTACGATGCGGGTAGATATGGCCGCATGATCGTGAATGGGAGGAAGCGGGCAGCGGGGCACAGAGGAACGGGTCTTGCTGGGGACTCTGTCTTGGACACCCCCCCTCCAGCCGTTGTCGATAGAGCCCGGCTGGAGGTTAAAGCACATGGACTTTTTTGATGTAATCATGATTCCGGGCGGGTGCGAAGTTGAAGCCACCCCGTTTCGCAAGCGTTGCGTTGCCAGGCGGCAGATCCACATATCTTGACAAATCTATGGTCCCCCCCCATGTGGGGGTCATTGCGCCGCCCAGCGACCGCGACTAGCGCCGCTTGAACCAGCGCACCAGCAGGCAGACGGCGGCATCCAGGAACAGGCTTATCCCATGGAGTACCCTATTCCATTGGGCCATTCACGGATTCACCTCGTTCGTTCAACATGCCTGTCGAGTACATCGAAGCGACGACGCCCGTCGCCGTGAAAGAGCTCGACATGCTCGACAAAATTGACGACAACGAGTCGGAAGAGATACCGCAAACTGTCCTGGATGAACTCCGTTCCAAGTACAACTGGATCTACTATGCGTTCTACTTTTTGGACGGCGCCGTCATGTGGGCGTACTACTCGTGCCTGTCGGCACAGGACTTTTACGCGGGCAAGTACCCGTCGGTCAAGTTTTCGTTCTTGACGACCATGTTCTTGACGTGGCCGCTCAGTTTGGGGTACCTCGTCCAGATGTGGGGCGGGCTCGACCACGCGCTGGGCCACCGCCTGCGCATGCGCATCGGGTTCCTCGCCATTGCTGCGGCCAGTGTCGTGATCATTGTGCACGACTGGTTCAACTTGACCGAGACAACCGGCGCGTACTTGTGCTTGGCCATGTTTGCCGTCGCGGGCGCGGCGCACTCGTTGAGTGAGCCCGTGCTCTACATTATTGCCGGGCTCTTCCCCGACGAGAAGTTTACGAACGCTGTCCAGATCGGCGACTCGATGGCGGGCTGCGTCAACGTCGTCGCGGCCACTGTCATTCGCCTCGTGGTTGGCGGGTACAAGAGCGAAGCAGGATCCACCGCCGTCAACGTGAGCTTCTACTTGTTCATGGGCCTCTTGGTCGTAGTCTGCTTCCTCGCGATTTACATCCACGAAAAGATGACGTCGATACCGGCGGTCAAGTACTTGCTCGACCGCGCCGAACGCGACCACCAGAAGAAGGCGCTCGTGTCGTTGCCGGAGCTCTGGTCCAACTACGTTCGCGTGGCCAAGACGGTTGCGCTCCCCATGGCGGCGCAGTACATGATGTTCTTCTGCACGCTTGCGCTTTTCCCGGGCATCGGGTGCACGTCCAGCGACCACGTGATCGACCCCAAGACTGACTACTCGATCGCGTGGTATTGCTCGCCTGGCATCATTGCGTCCTTCAGCTTTGGTGACTTGGCGGGACGGTACTTGTGCAATATCAAGGCGATCTGGAGCTTCTTCAACGCCAAGTCGATGTTTGTCATCTCGCTGGCGCGGTGGGTGTGGCTGCCGCTCTTCTTGATGGGCCTGTACGCGTCGCCGCTGTACGCGTTCGCGAACGCCCCGACGCTCGGTCTGTTCTGGCAGATCATCATGTACTTTTTATTTGGCGTGACTGGGGGTGTGTTTGCCACGATCACCATCGGCATGGCACCGTTGATGGTGCCGCAGGCGGATCGCCAAGCTGCGTCCGCGTTGATGGTCATGGCGCTGTACTTGGGCTTGAGCACAGGCTCGACGTTCGGGTACTCGATCGGCCACAACCACTACTTCCACGTCGGCTTGTAGACGAACCGCGTCAAGCGCTCGTCAGGTTGGACGAAACGAAGCTCGTTAGTTAGGTTGTCAGTGTAATATTGTGAATGTGCATCCCCAGGTTTCCCTCGAGATTGGTTCTACCGGCCGCAAACTGATATTTTCCCAAACGAGGCCGCTCGCCTTCGCCACGTGCTACTTCCTGCTTAGCAACGTCTTCGTCAGAGCAGCGTCAGCATCGAGGGACTCCTCGCCGAAGCCATGTACGCGTCCAGTGCGTTGCTCCCCATACTTGTAGCCGTCACGCAAGGATGCGCAGTTCACACATGGGCCGCCATGCATGCATGGACTTGCACCTTCCTTCATGTGCCCCTTACGACGTGGTTTTGACCGAGTGGTAAATTGCCGTCCCCACAAACGACCCATGGAACCCTGCATCTTCAGTTCTCCTGTCCTGCGAATGTAATGGAGCAATCCAACGTTCATGCAAGCCAGCGCCAGTCCGTCGCAGGGAGGAGATGGCGTGGACTGCAACAAGCGCCAATCGAGTCATGTGGAGGACTGCGAAGTCGAGGCCCCTCATGCGCAACCAGTGAAGGCGGAATGCTGTCTATTTGACCCATGTAAAGACCGCTACCGCTTCCCGTCATTTCATCCTTGCGACCGACCGATAGAAGAGCGACCTTGTACCATGCTACATCATGGTGCTACGATCCTTGACGACAAGAGCAAGTCGGCCTCGTCCTCCGAAACGAATGGACAAACAAAACGTGGTCCAAACGACGCCGTTTCCACGTTGAATCTGACCCCAATCTTGTGGTGTGCACCAAAACGTCGCCATGAAGTACATGACACTTCGGTCGACAACAAGTTCATTTTGGATGATATGCCGATGGTTGGTGGGGGCCATTACAGGCTGCCCATGAACCTGACTGGTAGGCCACTTGAGTCAAGGGGCAAAGATGTCGCTGCCATGCCGCGGCCCACCCTGCAAGTTGAAATCGCACATGCACACAACGCCCCCCTCCCACAAGGCTGTCCCGACGTTGCGCCACATGATATTTGGACGCTGAAGAGCGAGGCGCACACCCTGCGGGCAACTAAAATTCCACCTGGAATTCGCCACGAGCAAATATCCTAGCCCAAGTTGTGGAACGACTTTAGTGGACTGGACCGTTGGGGTCGTTGCTTGGACTAGTTCATTTGAGTCGTTGAGTGCATGGCCAAGGGGTGCCAACGTCACACTCGTCGCATTGGAATCGCTAGCACCCGCAACTTTCAGTGGAATATACCGATGGGTTGTGTGTCCAGGCATGGCGACTTCTCTTAATGACGACACAGTTGGTCATCTTGCCGGCGTTCTGTGACGTTATCGTGGAGGTCTACGGCTGCCCTGTCGAGTGGTCTAAGAAGGAAAGGTCTGTTGCCGTGGCTTCCAGGTCCCACTGCGACTTCAAATAGTCGTTGTTCCAAAACTTGGTCAAGTGGCGCTGTCCCGAATCACACAAGATGGTCACGATGATGTGTCCAGGGCCGAGTTTCTTGGCGAGTCGGACTGCAGCGACGCAGTTCATGGCGCTGGAGCTGCCGACAAAGATGCCGTCTTCCGCCAAGAGATGGCGGGACATGTTGACAGCTTCCTCATCCGACACGACGTAGGCGTCGTCAATGTTGGCCAGGAGAAAGTTGGCCGTAAGCCGATCAATGCCGATACCTTCGGCCACCGTATCGTATCGGTGGCGCTTGACGGTTCGTTCAGACTGTTGTGGTGCGTAGCACACGTTGTGTCGGACCTGCAACGCCCATGAGCACTTTCAGAATCCGACTGGGACCGACGCCACCTTGTTGTACAGGCTCGATCCTGGCGGGTCGGCCAGCACGATTTGAATGGCCGGGTTCTGCTCTTTCAAGTAGCGAGAGACTCCCGCAATGGTGCCGCCAGTTCCTACCACCGTCCTGCATGAGCTCAAAGAGGTCACAGGAGGCGGCGCACCGGCAGACATGACAAATCCATCTAGGGTTCCTTGAGTTTGTTGCCAGATCTCACGACCAGTGGTGCGATAATGGATCTCTGTGTTGGCCAAGTTCTCGAATTGGTCGGCGAAGTACCCCCCTGGACGTCGTGTCAGATGAGCCTTCGGCGGCAGCGGCGCACCTGCAATTTCGCTGGCGCGGCGCCGGGCTTGATTCACGTAGTGCTTGGCATTCACGATAGACGCCGGCTTGACAAATTCGACGGTAGCCCCAAACTTTTGCAGCAGCTCGCCTTTCTCTTTCGCCTGGTCGTCTGGCATCACGATCAAACACTTGTATCCCTTGGCTACGTCCATGGTCATCAACGTAGCGTCCATGGAGCATGCGACGGACACACCCACCTCGAGCCAAGAGCGCCAAGCTGATGCCAGTGCTGCCCGACGTTCCTTCAACAATCGTCCCGCCCGCCTGCAACAACTGCCTCGCCTCGGCATCTTCGATTATACCTTTTGCCACTCGGTCCTTGGAGCTTCCACCAGGATTCAAGAACTCTGCTTTCGCCTGGAGAGATACGTCATGCATTGCTATGCTCGCCGTGAAGTGCGTATACCAAGATGCGGCAGCCCGTGGCCTTGGACAAGCTTGGAATGAGGACGAGTGGCGTGTTGCCAATGAGTCCTCCATGGCCATCACGAAAGGCTGAACCACCATCGTCTTGCGGCTCACTTCGCTTCCGCGACGAAATCAAGTCATACACATATAGCGCGACCAAGGACACTGCGCCCACAGCTGCCCACGCCGCAGTCCCTGGAGCCATCTCCGGCAGGATGGACCAATTGATGCCAACTTCAATCTCCACTCCCGACGTGGAATTTCCCCATCATTTTGACCAATCAAACGTCATCCGATCCAATTCCAGTACCAGCAATGCGTGCGAATGTCGCCATCCTGACGGCCTGTGCGTGCATCGGCGGCTTCCTCTTTGGCTATGACACAGTGCGTGCGCAAGATGCAACGAAAACAACGACATTATGGAACGGAGCCCGTGCTGTTCTTGTAGGGAGTGATTTCGGGGGCGCTGGTGTCCATGCAAGCATCGAGTGGCTCCGACCAGTTCACCTTGACCATGGGGCAGGCGGAAACGGTAGTGTCTGCAGCGATCCTTGGAGCAATAGTTGGCGCGGCCGCTGGAGGGGTTGGAAACGATGTCGTTGGACGCAAGCCCATGATTCTGCTTGCATCTGCGCTGTTCACAGCAGGCGCCATCTCGATGGGACTTGCTGGTTCCGTCACGGCCCTCGTCGTTGGCCGACTTGTCGTCGGCCTTGCCATTGGCATCTCCTCCATGACCATTCCCGTCTACATTGCGGAAGCGTCTTTGCCAGGTACGAGACAGTCGCACCCACGCTTCTGTACGTACCTGGCACGTAGAGCACCGCGGGACTCTCGTTTCATTGAACACACTCATGATCACGTTTGGGCAATTCTTCGCCGCTGTCTTTGATGGAGTGCTGAGCTCAAGCCCAGACGGTTGGCGGTACATGCTTGGACTGGTGGCATTGCCGTCGTCAGTTCAGTTCGTGGCCTTCCTCCTATTGCCAGGTAGAGTCACCGTGCTGTGTGGGGCGACATGGTCCGTTCATAGTTTCATAAATAGAAAGCCCTCGATGGCTCTACGCTAAAGGATGCAGCACCCGCGCGTACGACGTGCTAGCAAGTCTCCATGGCAAAGCGACCGACTCGTTCCGCGACGAGTGGGCACACATGCACGTTGTCCGCTCGACCAACGCATCTCGCCCGTCGTGGTCATCTTCTGCATGGAGCGAAATGCACCACCCCGCTGTCTTGCGCGCGCTCGTCTTGGGCTGTGGCCTTCAGGTCAGCATGACCATTCCTGCGCATCTTGCTTTGTCGTTTGGAAGGCTTGAATCATCTCATAGATTCTACAACAACTATGTGGCATCAACACGGTCATGTACTACGGCGCGCCGATCATGCAAATGGCGGGGTTCTCCCAGCCATCCACTGCGATATGGCTTGCCGCCGTTGTCGCATTTAGCAACTTTGCCTTTACATTCGTTGGCATTTACCTCGTGGATCGGTGAGGCAGACAAACGACTTGCGAGTTTTCAATTGGGATGCCGACTCCTGTAGACTGGGGCGGCGGCCCTTGACGCTGGGCAGTTTAGCGGGCGTATCTGTGTCGCTGCTGGCTCTGGGAGGGGCTTTCTATATGGCTCGACTTTCGTCCAAGCCGCTCACTAGCCATGCCCGCGATCCGTGTAGTGCCCTCACAGCATGCTTTGACTGCGCGGCGAACGCGGCATGCGGCGTTTGTGATGCTACATGTGTTCCTGGCACTTCGTCAGGTCCTCAAGCTCCTCTTTCGTGTGCAACCTACGCATTCCACACGTGTCCAAATGAGGCATCGTCTGGGACGTGGCAAGTTGTAATTGTCGTGGCGATGTTTGTCTACTTGGCCTGCTTTGCCAGTGGCATGGGTGCGTTCAACTCGGCCCATGGCGGGTATTCCCTCACGGATTGCCTTTCCTGGTTGTAGGATGCATGCCATGGACAATCAACGCCGAAATCTATCCCCTCCATGTCCGCAGTGTGGCCATTGGCGCCGCCACGACTGCCAACTGGGTCTCAAACCTCGTCGTGTCGTACACATTCTTGACGGTTGTCGCAATGCTTGGCCCTCATGGAGTGTTTTGGCTCTTTGCGGTGATCGCGGCAGTGGGCGGGGCACTCTTGTTTGTGCACTTACCAGAAACCAAGGGGGTGCCACTCGAAGACATCCCGACGCTGTTTCTCCCGCCAACCCATGCCAACTACCAACCTCTGTCGTAATCGCCACAACTCTAATCATTCGTTTTGGCGGTGCATCGCCAACCTTGGTCGATTCCCGTCGCGATCATCGCTCGATGGCGCCACCAGGAGATCATTCTCCATCCTTTGTGAAAAATGACAGTGCTGCTGATTCTTGCTCGTGGCTCTCGTACAAAATGACAGTGCTGCTGATTCTTGCTCGTGGCTCTCGTACATTCTTGTCGTACGATGTACGATTATGCCACAGATGGCTACATTAGGGATAGTGTCCCTAAATTAGGAATAGGTTCATTGCACTATTAATATACTGTCGTATTTCAAAATGGAATTGTTGGTGAAAAATACTATTGCAAATTTGAATTCACGACAGGGAATGGGCGGGATTGTACGTTTTGTACTGGATTGTACGGTGCGGCTTCATCACGGATCTTCGCGACATCCCATTTTTGAATTTGGCGGGGGGCGATGACTGTAGGAGCCTTGCGCATTGGGTTGTTTGGGTGTGGAACGGTCGGCGGCGGCGTGTTCCAGATTCTTGAGTCCCGCGCAACGTTCCTCAAGAGCATTGGGGTGAACGCCACAATTGAAAAGATCTGCGTGCGGAATGCAACCAAGCCCGAGTTGGTCGCGTTGGTCCAAGGCCACTCGACCACGATCACGACCAAGTACGACGACATTTTGGAAGACAGCTCGATCAACTGCATTGTGGAACTCATGGGGGGGGTGACAGACGCGAAGGACGTTGTGTTTAAGGCGATTCAGAAGAACAAGCACGTTATCACGGCCAACAAGGCGCTCGTAGCAAGCTACATGACAGAACTCAGCGACCTGCTGCAAGCCCATCCTACCGTCCGATTTGGCTATGAAGCGTCCGTGTGCGGTGGCATTCCTATCATCCACACGCTGCAAAGCTCATACTCGGGCGACGTGGTCAAGGAAATCGCTGGCATCATGAACGGCACCACCAACTACATGCTGTCTAAGGCAACTATTGAGGATGAGTCTGAAAGAAGCTGACCGTGCGATGTAGATGGAGACGGAAGGCGCATCCTATGAAGCTGTGCTCAAGGAAGCACAGGACTTGGGCTACGCCGAGGCGAACCCGAGCGCGGACGTGGACGGATTCGACGTCCAAGCGAAGATTGCCATTTTGGCCAAGCTCGGCTTTGGTTGCGTCATCCCGCCTTCAACTATTCCCACCACAGGTGCATGATCGATTCCATGACGATTCACGACCCTCTTTCGGCCAAGTTGGAGTGATGGGCCTTTCCAGTCCTTTTTCAAGCCCTGGTTTTCGTTGCGTCGCTGACTTGGACTTGCACTGATGCGTAGGCATCACGCGCATCAAATCGATCGACTTCGAGTACGCGCAGCTGATGAACAGCACGATCAAGCTGTTGGGGGTGGCAAAGCGGTCGAACCCGAAAGCTCCGAACGAGATTTCGGTGTTTGTGTCGCCAATCATCGTCCCCCGCAGCAACGTCATTGGCACGTGCGGCGGCGCCAGCAACATTGTGAACGTTGTGTCGGAGAACTGCGTGAACGGCGCGTACGTGGGCCAAGGGGCGGGTCGGTTTCCGACTGCCAACTCAGTCGCGAACGACATTGTGCGGCTCGCGCAGGGTCTCGTGCCGTCGTCGCCATTTGCCGCAACTCAAAACGTGACGATCCAAAATGACTTTTCCGGCAAGTTTTACGTCCGCATTCGTATCTCGGACGGTCTCGGCATCATTCGCCGCGTGGGTGACGAAGCCGAGAAGGCTGGCATTTCGATCGACTCGATCTTGCAGTTGCCGATCCAAGACAGTCGCAACGTCGACTTTGTCGTGACGACGGATGTGACTCACCTGTCCAAGGTCCACGTCATGGCCAAGGGCATCGAAGCGCTGCCGTTTGTATTGGAGCCGCCACTGTTCCTTCCCATGCTGTAACCCATCTCGACGTGACTCCCACCAGCGTTCGGGTGCACCGCCAAAGAGCCCGCCAGTTCGTGAGAAGTAGTATGCCAGCTATGCCAAGTTATCAAATCTGTTTTCGTTGATCGGTTTTAAGACCAGACCAGGCGACGAAACCAATGCGATGTCGGGAAAACGTGGTCTTGACAGGAGGCCACTGATTGAAGTGGAGATTTGTCGTACGAGAGTTGGTTGCCACCTACAACGACAGCGCATGCCGAATTGTCAGGGACACCCGAGTGGCTGGCGCAACGTCGTCGATGCTGTGCAGATGTTCGGTGTACGCTTGGTCTGTGAACACAATGAGACTGCGGCGGTTGACGCGGATGGGAATCGTTTCGGACGAGGCATGGTCGACAAGATGTCGATGGCGCTTGAATGACATGACAGCGTTAGCGCCGAGGCTCACGATCGCGACGAGGGGATGGTACAAGGGTCCGTCTTCGTGAGGGAGAATGTAGTCGCCAGGTCTGTACTCTACACCAGTTTGGCCGATCCGAAATAGATGACCCTGGGGGAATGGGACGTACCATTGATCAGCGCATGGTTTGGCGTGTGGGCTGTGTCGAAGAGGCCCATCTCGACAAAGCTTGTCGACAACGCTTGCAGCCATGATGGCAGGGGTGCTGGCGTGTACTTGTTGGTCACTGTTCCGCCATGCACTTGCAACCGACGGTGCTTCAATTGAACCCACGCTGCCGACGGCGCTGCTGCCACCCGATCGAGAATCGCACGTTCCTCGTCGCACGAGAGCCAATCTGGGATGTAATGCACTGACGAGATAATGGATTTGCACACACGGGACAGTTCGAGGTCCACGGGAAGTCTACCAGCCAGCAAGCCAAGCACCTGTCAGCGTTTGGACTTGAGCGTGTTGGAGGTGTACCGACGCGCAAACTGAAGCGGAGCCAAGTCGACGGCCGCATCTCGCACGTCAGGGACAATCGTTTTCTCATTTATCTGAGCTTCTCTGGCGTTTGCGGTGTGATGCCGCGTTGCTGCGGCCTTCCGTCGCTCTTCTCGCAGAAGCGCAGCAAAGTCCATCGTGACGATTTATTTAAAAATACGATTTTTTTGGCCAACGAAGTACCAGAGAATGCAACGGATTAGGCCAGCATCACCGCCGAGCGCGCGGACACCATCGCGACGAAGGAAGACTCTTAAGACTAAGTACATTACAAGGGTCAGTAGACTGTTTACGCCAGACTGTCGACTTGGTAGTCGACTTCTTTCGACGTGGAGAGCAACGGTTTGCCCACCTCGCCCGCTTTTGTTTCGTGCGCTTGCAAATACTTGAACGACCAAAACCCGAGCGGCCAAAAGCACACCATTGGGATGATGGGGGACACATACACCATGGTTTGAACAGACAGGAGCACGATGAGCGCAATGCGTATGCTTGCTTCGATGATCATACCGAAGCCCCAGACGATGGACAGGTGCCGCGACGTTTGCCGGACATGGGGCAACATGTACATCGCGTCCATTTCTTCCGGGCTTCTCGACGTAAAGTGCCGGCGGAACGTGAAAAACATGTCTTCGTGAAAGTACGCGACCGACAGAAAGTAGAGGATTCCGATCGTGACGGTGGACAGCGAGTCCTTGACGAGAAGCACCTTGGCATCGTCTGTGAAGAGCATGATGACGACCGAGAACGACGTCGAGATGATCTGGACAATCGAGATCACGTCCTTCTTGTTGTAGGCAAAGACCTGCACGAGCGTCTTGACCATGGGAGGAATCCCCGACAGAAACACCGCCACGATCTGGGTCGTGTGTTCCTTGGCGATGTTAAAGATGGCCAACGGCAAGATCAAGTTGAACACAACCATGGGCAAGTGCGGCCAGTCCAGCACGCGCTGTACGATCCCCATGGCTGTGCGGCACGTCGACAACCAAATCGACTGTGCCTCGATCGTCAGTCGACTTCCCCAACTCCATGGTCGGAACAGGACCAGGCAGAATGGTGGTCGCTCGACCCGAGAATGGTGGCTTGTTGACAAGGGCGACGATAGCCCACAACGACGCTGTGGCTCATGCCAGGGCCCTTGACACCCGACGACCTCGAGAGGCCGCGGGGACGACCACTCGAGCGTGTGACGAGCCCATGCGGACATCCATTTTATCGCCGTGCATTTTTTTATATCGTGTTGTTCTCCTTATACTGGTCGATGATTAAAAAATCTTTTTGCAACAAATACTAAACCGTACTGTATAACCAGTCCTTTCACACGCACATCGAATCATATAGTGTAGAAAAGGCAATGTCAACCGCCCGCTGCATCGGCCACATCGAGTGCCTTGCGAGAGCTCGGCCGAAGCGGCGGCACATTTGGCGCCCGTGGATGCATGTACGAGGAAAGCTGTAGACCACGGTGACGTCCTGCGTTTGGAGACCGTGGTGATGGTGCGTTGCACCGGAGGCGTGCTCTGTGAGGCGTCGACCAAACAATACACGGATCGGGGATACCTGTAGCTATGTGTCGTCATCAGAGTGGGGGAGAGGGGTGGACCTGGTTGGCGATGTTTCGTCCGCCATGTCGAAATCGCCATCGACTCATGCCGACAAGAACCAGCAACTATGTCAACGCTGCCAGACCCCACGATGTTGCATGGAATCGCCCACCCACCACGTCAGCAACCTGTTCAGCAAGAATCGGCGAGTCGGCGAATGCACAGTGCCGTTGCAGGAACAATTCAGGGAATGACAACAGGACGCCCGAACACTCAGCCCCCGCCAAAGCCGCGCGGCCCAAAGACCTCTTGTGATTTTTCATGCACGTGCTGCCGCTTGATTGTTCCGTGTGTGGAGAGAGGAGCAACTCAAGTGTGAACGTCTGGCCGTGCAGACATAAATAATTTCGTACTACAACCGTGGCTGGATTTGGAGAGCACAAACAAGATTTGCGGACGTGATAGGCCCCAAACACGGACGACATGACCGAGCCATGCGATGCATGCACCGTTCGAGTCTGGGTGTCCCCGGCGTCCCGTTACGGTGTTTACCTGTAGCACGTTGTACGACAGAGTGTACTTGGCACACGCCGCCACAGGAACCAAGGCGTCGATGTACTGCATCCATTCTTTTGTCGTGAATGCATCCAGATCACATCGAGTGGCTTGCTCAAGCAGCAAAGCCTGCTCAACAAACTCTCCATTCTTCACAAGCCATCCAACGAACGACGCCAAACGTCCCGACTTGATTCGTTGGGCATGGCCTCGATGGACTCGAGTTCGATCGTCCATCGCCTAACACATTCTCAACGTGTTTCGTATCAAAATGCCTCGATTGCTCCGTGCCCAGATCACAAGGCAGATGTACGAGCCACCTACTGGCAACGACTGCCCGTGACGAATACGTCCTTGCCCTCAAGAGACGTTGTGCCGTGTTTAGATGGATGGCCATGTTTTTTGGGTAAGCAGCAGTGATAGACCGACAGGGGAACCACGTACACCTGGGGGCCATTTCGGTTGAGATGGTGGTCCAATCGAGTACATTGGTGCCCCTCGCATGAACCACACGGAGAACGACCGTGCGCGACAGCTCTGAACGTTCACGAGCTCGCTTCGTGCTGAGCACTGTCGTCGTGCGCACCGATGCCGACACACCTCATCCCGTCTCCCCCGTGCCGTTTCTAGGCATCAAGTAGCTAGCCACTGTGTGGTCCAGCCCGAGCTCACGCTTGTCGTGCGTCTTGCATTATTATGGAAAGCTGTGGTGCTCGTTCCTCGTCACAGATCCGAAATGAATCCAACCACCAACTTCGCTCGACAACCCCGTCTTGCCCGTGCCATGGGTACGCAATGAATCCAAGGTGGCATTTTCTTCATCGCCGTGGGCACTCGATACTCGCCTGCTTGCCGAGTTGCACAGCTCCGGGCGAAGCCGTTCGTTCCGGCCGTGGTCCACACATACAGCTGGACTTGTGCCATACTTGCGTTACGTCGATGGTGAGCTCTGAGAAACAACGATATAGATGAGCATGGCAGAGCCTGTCCTCGTAGAATTGATGTCAATTGCGCTGCAGTAGACAGCAGCAGCAGCGAAGACACCCAACGCATCAAAACCAATGGACTAGCTACCGACATCCATATTCGATGGGGTGCAGACAAGCCTGGCGTCGCTGCACGGACCGTCAAGTCCAGGGTACCATCGCCTGCGCGACGCCGGGGAACGTTCCCCCCACGAGACGACGAAGTGCACTCCATTGAGTCCAGCGCGTGACGACGCGGCCATGTGGCGCTGGCGAAGCCACGGAGGACTGTGTCGGCCCTCGCTCGTGTCATTGACTCTGTTCGACTTCGTTCTCTTCCCCACACCAACGAACAAGCGCAGAACGCACGTTCACGAGGGTGGTCATTAATTTCAATAATGTCGATTTCATCGACCGTTTTCTATATGTGTTTGTTTCCTGGAATAAAAATGACCTCCGCATGCTCGGTGCGCCGTTGCTGCACAATTTGTACTAAGCTGTCAAAAAGCATTGAGTTGATGTTGCAGGATATCACCCAGTATGTTGAACTCGCTTCAAGTACAGGTATAACTAGTTCATACGTTTACATAAGCCGTACATAGACTCGCACTGCGTCGTCCTCATTTTGTGCCCGCTAGCCGTTCGGCGGTAAATGCGTTCGTTGCTGTCATTGGACTTGTAAAGTCAAATAAACACTGCGCATACGTTTTGTAAAATTCCCTATCGACCTCAAATCGTTGGATCAGATGTGACGTCGCCCTATGGATTGGCGAACGTGCGCGGAACAGTCCCCCGAGCCCTTCTGCGCATTGTGGCCAATCAGAGGAGAGGGCAGCGCTGGATATTTTCAGGACAAGCTGTTACTTTCGAAGGTTAAATGATTTGAAATTTGTATGTGAGACGAGTGTAATTAATTACACGACCTGCTCCATTCCACAATTTCGCAGGACGTGGGGCATCATGGAGCACAAGGACAGTGACCGCGCCGCGGCGAAGGAGCAACAGGGAAACGACGACGAACAAAAGAAACCTTCGACGACGATCCAGCGAACGGGAGTTCCCCGGTCGATGCTCGAAGGTGCCGAGGACGATAAAATCGAGTTCCGATCGATCGCGGCCATGTCGGCCGCGACGCCTCCCACCTTCGGTCGGACCTTCGGGCACATGCACAGTCAGGGGCTGAGTCTGCCTACCCCATTCACCATGCGTAAGCCAACAATGACTAAAGCACCGCAGGGGACGGCCGTCCCTGCCCCATCCACAATTCCCATGATTGATTCGACAAATTACTCGAACGTGACGGTCAAACCTCTCCCTGCCGCACCGTTCCGCCTCGAATTGCACTCGCATTTCCACGTCAAAGACTCGTCAGCCCAGCGTGTGTGCGTCGTCATCGGTCAAAAGTTATTGGACCTTGGCACAGACTTTGTGTTCAAGGCGCAAAAGGGCAAGTGGAAGGTCTCCAAGATCAACGGGTCGAGCATGGTCGAGTTCAAAGTTGTGCTCTACAGTACTAGCGACACCGAACACGTCGTTGAGTTCCAACGCCGACAAGGCGACATCATCAGCATGATGAACCTGTACGCTGACGTCGTACAAGCATGCAAGAAGCAGCAGCTCCTAACTAGTGAAGGCGCATTGAAGCCGCTCAAACACAAGCGATCGGTGCCATCGCCAACATCCCCACCCTCGTCCCCTCCTCCTTCTTCCGCCGCCGAGATGAAGGACTCGGTCCAAAGCATCCAAAATATGATGTCGAGCAAGCACCACGACGTGCAGGTCCAAGGGATCCTCGCCAGCATTTCCCTGTCGTCGATTACGTCAACATACCGGGACATCATGGCCCCTTTGGTACCTGTCTTGGTTAGCCTGGCTCATTCTTCAGTCGACCAAGTCAAGCGCTGTGCATCCTTCGCCCTCGCTCGCCTCTGCGACGATCCCGAATGCCGGCGAGCATTCATGAACTCGGATGGGTGGCAACTCGTTGTCAAGCTGGCGGCCGGTGGTCCGGATGTGTCGGTCGACTGCCAGCGGGAGAGCCTGCATGTACTTGAAATCCTGTGTCCACTTTACTCGCACGAGCTGTCGAAGGCCGACGGAGCGGCGGGGGTGCTGAGCCTCCTTCAGGACTGGCAGTCCATTCAAGACCCGCGACTCAAGAAGCATGCGTGTGGCGCCCACCGGGCACTCAAAGCTGCTGGCATGATTGCACAGTAATTTACCATGTTTGCATGGAACGCGTATCAACCGACCAACGTCCCCTTTTCCAGTGGTAGAAAAGAGATTGCAGGGGTAACTTAGATCCATAGCACGAATTGCATCGACTTCTCTACACCTCCTTCCTTCCTGTCGAAGAGACTTGATGTGGCGCCAAGGTGTTTGATTTGAACAACCTTTAACACAACATCACCATCTTCACCGGTTGTTGGGAGCTCTTCGACACAAAACTGCGATGGCGTAGCGAACCCACGATGGAAGCAATCTCGTGGCCTCGTGTGCACGCCCCATCGATGACCACGGCAGGTAGGATCTCGACAACGAGAGATGCAAACCAGACCAGCTAAGCACTCCCCGACCGGCAGGCTACACCGACTTCACGATCGTTGTTGAGTCGGTACCCCATATGAGCCAGAACGAGGCAAATCACTGACGTTAGTCCTCACAACGCAGTCTGAACTAGAATTGTTCGATTGTGTACATAGCATGTATAACGATAGTCTTCAGTCTTCACCGCTTCCGGGGCTGCAACCCAAGTTTATCGACGGCGCGTGGTAGTTGTGTATACGCGTGCATGCGATTGAGTAGTTGGACTCTATGGCCGACGACGTAAACGCACACTTGACACACATCGCGCCTTTATGTCGGACACAAATTGGTGCCCCACTGTATAGGGCGACGTGGACCACTCGTTCAGAACCAGTTGATCGGTTGATCTTGAATCCAGGCTTTGATGAGGCGAAGGTCCGACGCCTTGAGTTTCCACCGCGATCGATGGTACGGACCCAAAGTGCACTCCAATGACGGATGAATTTTCAACAGATGCAGCAGGGACCGATGGGACAGAGTCATTCCGGACCACGATAATCATCGAGAGCGAAGTCGATGCTGGATACAGCACACCCGGCAGCCGATCCGAAGGCGCGCACGAGGCAGCGCATGTGGCGACGATGCGTCGCGTGAATGCGTGTTGAGCGCGCCCACCACAAATAACTCTACTAGTAAGGGATGGGACCGACTCTTCATGGTCGACAGCATCGATGCCACGTTTTCATTCTCTGTGCCATTTTCTTCATCAATCCTACATCGACGTAGACACGCGTAATCGGCGAGTCAGTCGAAAGCGTGGAGGTACTATACTCAAAGAGGTAGTGGACTTGCTCTGGGGAGTCCACATGTGCCAAGCAAACGTGCGTCGAACGGGGGAGCTTATGACAAAGCAAGTCGTCGCATCGTTTGACACCAGTGCGAGAGGATCGCTGAGTAAGCCACTTCACCTTGATCGACAGAGAGGTAAAGAATGCCGTCGGTGAAGTCGTCGTCGACCTGAGCAAGATATGGCTCTTTTGTGAAGGCAGCGGCCTTGGACACAAGCGGACATGCCCGTCTCTAGCATGTCGATTCAAAGTTGAAGAATTGTCCATGCCAGACACTGCAAAAACGTAGAATTTTCTATGAAAATTTACGCAATTAATCCTGCTGTGGATATTTATCGATATTTTGATAAAATATCGTCCGCATAACTCGGTTGCAATGTCCGGATAGGACTTGGTGGAAGGGAGATTGACAGCAGTTTTGGCGCGCACGCGGAGAGATAACATAAAATTCGACGAGAAATCACCATACAATAACCAAGTTTAAATTGCAATCCGAACGTTAAATTGTCCTCCTTGCATTCCACAACACTCCAACATGACGGCAACCATCGAGAACGTCCCAGCGGAAATCCAAGTGAACCTTGACGAAGGCTTGGAACAGGCAGATCGAAAGCTTCCCGTGGATGAAGATGACGACGCAGTGGTCGATGAGAAACTCAAGCATATCGAAGATGAGCTCAAGCTGGAACGCGAACACGACGACCCTGTCGATGACGACGCGTTCAAGAGCATCAGTTACGCCAAGCGTGTGGAAAAACTCGATTCGTTGTTGGAGAAAGCTGGAGCATATTCCAAGTTCCTCTTGTCCAACATGGAGCCAATCCAAGTGGAAGCGAACGTGGTCGATAATGCAGCAACACCATTGTCGAGCAAGAAGAGGAAGGGCCGGCAGCCCAAAATCAAAGATGGCGCGTCGAAGTTGCAAAAGATCAACGAAAACCAATCGGGTGCTCACACCGTGTCTGAGATGAAGTTCAAACAACCGTCGCTGTTCACTGGCGGGACGTTGCGAGCGTACCAGTTGGAGGGTATCCAGTGGATGTGCAATTTGTTTGAAAACGGTCTCAACGGGATCTTGGCCGACGAAATGGGACTGGGTAAAACGGTGCAGGTCATTGGCATGTTGGCGCAGTTGAAAGCTAAAGGCGTCCGCGGGCCGTACTTGGTTGTTGCGCCGTTGTCGACCTTGTCGAACTGGTACAACGAGTTCGAAAAGTTCACACCAACTATTCCTGCAATGATCTACCATGGAACGACTCCCGAGCGAAAACTGATGCGATCGAAGCAGCTCAAGAGAGGAACACAAACAAACCCGGACTTTCCCATTATCATCACGTCGTATGAAGTGATCATCCGCGACGCAAGCAGCTTCAATTCAATGGGATTTGTGTGGAAGTTTATGATTATCGACGAAGGCCACCGACTAAAAAACATGGACTGCTTACTCATGCGTGAGCTCAAGAAATGCAGGTCAGAGAACCGGTTGCTCTTGTCCGGGACGCCATTGCAGAACAACTTGAGCGAGCTGTGGAGCTTGCTCAACTTTCTTTTGCCCGACGTGTTCGACGACTTGGCGTTGTTCCAAAGTTGGTTCAACTCGTCGAGCGCGAATGCAAGTGCCACCACGGATGACATTATTTCAAAGCACGACGTCCTCACCAACCAAAAGCAAGGCCAGGTCGTGTCCAAGTTGCACGAGATTCTCCGGCCGTTTGTGCTGCGGCGTCTCAAAACCGACGTCGTGCTTGACGTCCCGTCGAAGACAGAAATCGTTGTGTACTGCCCCATGACTGACCTGCAGGCGTCGTACTACAAATTGATTGCGGACAAGGAGCTCGCAAAAGCGCTGCAAGAAAAGCATGGCAAGTCGGGTATGTTTGTCAACGCGATTCATCATGTCACGTAAGCTCTATATCTCACCTCTTTTTTAGCAAATGCTGCCATGACGCTTCGCAACATGGCGGTTCAACTGCGCAAGTGCTGCAACCACCCGTATTTGTTCGACGAGGACACTGACGCGTCTGGAAATGTCGTGACGGGCGATCACTTGATTGAAGCGGCGGGGAAACTTGTCATCATGGACTCGATGCTCAAGCAATTGCTTCAAAATGGCCATAAAGTGCTTATTTTCAGTCAGATGACCCGCGTGCTGGACATCCTGGAAGACTATCTCCACCATCGCAACTACAAATACTGCCGGTTGGACGGCAGGACTAATTTCTCCGAACGGCAGCAATCCATGGACGCTTTCAACAAGCCCGAGAGTGACTTGCAAGTATTTTTGTTGTCCACGCGGGCGGGTGGCCTCGGCATCAACTTGACTGGCGGCGACACAGTCATATTGTACGACAGCGATTGGAACCCGCATCAAGATAACCAAGCTCAAGATCGCGTCCATCGCATCGGGCAGACGAAAGACGTGGTCGTGTACAGGTTGATCACGGAAAACTCATTTGAAAACCGCATGCTGCAGCGTGCAAATGCCAAGCGCACGTTGGAACGCGTCGTGCTGTCTCGTGGAGAGTTTTCGTCCGTGTCGGGGGAGAAGGCCAACCCATCTAGCTTGACGATGGAAGAGCTCGAGAATCTGTTGAAAGACGACATCCAGATTCGACAGGAAGCGACGGGTGGCATATCCGAAAGCGAGTTGGCCATGCTATGCGATCGCAAACAAGTCGTCGACGCATTTGTAAAAAAAACGACGGACGTGCCCCGCGAAACCAAAGGGTATTACGTCGTTGACTCGGCATCGTCCAGGATGGAAAGCTACACTTGATGCTATCGAATCTCAAGAGCCGCCTACCGACTTCCGTAAACACTGCCAAAGTCACACTGGATCGTGGGTCAATTCATTATTGGTATTGCAATTATTTCAAAAATTCATCGATTACTGCTGTATCTTCAGCTCCCAAATACTAGTATTTGCAGAATTCAAAGAACGTATTGTTGTTTAGTATGTAGTATTACAATACAAAGAGACTTTTGTGATGTCTCATGTACATTTTCGACCCCCGTTTTAATACAGTTCTTCAATCTAAAATGAACCGTGTCAATTTCCGAAGACATTTTTCATATTACTTGACGTATCATAAATTTGCTCCATGAAATATCAATTCTGTATGGCTATGGCAAAAATGAATTCTGGCCACCGCGGTTTTCAGCGAGCGAAGTTAACCAATCAAATGACACAAGTTCGTGGCGCCAGGTGGGAATGCCATGGCATGAAGGAGGCGGCGACGGGCCAACGCCGCCGAAGGGTAATGATGAAGCGTGAGGTCCGGGGTAGTAACAGCCTGTGTAGGTGCACCGATGCGGAGAATCAACGGCCCGCTAGGGGACTTGTGGAAGAAGATGACCAAGTCGATTCAGCAGTATGTCTCTCAACGCATCAATTCCATGGTCCTGTAATAGACCGCTTAGACACAGCGAACGGACCCACCACGACGCGTTGGGGCTTGAAGCGCACTCTGACTTTGAGCATGGCCCGTGGATCGAGATGTGTAATTTTGTTGGAATTGCAGCGACAGAAGGCGAAATCCACGGTGCGTGCGCATGTCGTCATTTTCGCGCATGACGACTCCCAGGCGGTGTGGACTTAAGCCGGTTACCCATGAACACTGAGCAAGTTGCATTGGGTTTTCAGTCGACGGGCGTCATTGAGCAAGTCGGTTGGTTCCCACAAGTAATAGACTGTGTTAATGAGGCGTGGTCAGCAGGACTTGATGCTGTTGATTCGGTCCAGCAAATACGTCGACGAAGAGATCGTGGCAACGTTTCATGATCCATTGGGTTGCATCGATGGGTACTTCCATCGCGACGTGGTCGACGCTGTTGGTGCTGCCTTGGTCAAGAACACAGGTGTCATCTTGAGAAGCGTACGGTCTCAACGATATCCCCTGCGTCCTTTCATCCTCGTTCTGCTCTCATCAGGTGACCGTGTTCATGCCTATCGAGCGACGGCAGCAGTACCTCAACATTTGCCGAAGCAACATCGTTCGAATCTTTCCATCGTCGTCACAACACGCCGATGAAGTGGCTGCATTCAACAACAATCTAGCCGCGACATCGGTGCACAACCCACCCGGCAGCAGTCGTTTTGTTCTGGAAGATCCCTCTGGCGAAGCAACGACTGCGGCCGACCTCGTCGCTATGACGCAGCGTCACGTCATCCATCAGAGTTATGCACAACGCGCACCTCCAAGTGGAGGACGCAGGGGCAAGCAAAAATGGGCATGGAGGTCTTTTGTCCCCAAGAAAAAGAAACAAAAGCAGATTAGCCAAGACGACGCCTCACCACAACAACCATCTCTGTCATCGTCGGAGAGCTCTGCCAGTCCCAAACGCACACCTCGCCCACCTCGTCCAACCCCATCAGCAATTCCTCAAGCTCCTCGTGCTATTGTAGCCCCACCGACGGCACGTCCGCCCGGGGCACACGCACCAGTCCCCGATACCCGACCAGCGGTGTCTATTCAGGAAGCTTTAGTTCCACGACCGCCAAGTCCTGTTCACGTAGCCAAGCCCCATCCCGTGGTTTCAGCGGTGCGGCCACCACCTCCGTTACCATCCCCAAAGGATTCCCACGTTGGGGCGCAAGACGTCATCTCGCAGGCGGTCGACGCAGTGCTCAACGATGACGACTGGTGACTCGATAATAAATACACTTGTACGACGGACGACTCACCGAGGTAACTACCGATCCTGGAGCTCTTGACATTCTACCCACAAAACGGTCATGAACACTGTTCCGACATCAAAATCGCAAACGCACGATGCGGGTGGAGTTTGCGCAGGAGCAAGAGCAATCGCCCCGTACAAATCATCTCAACTGCCTACGACATCAGGTGCCTTCAGCATTGGACTCTTTCGATGACAAGGGGGTCCGTCACCAGGATAAACACGTTGCTGATGGTGAGGCTTGTCCGGTACACTTGCTTGTCCCCGAACCCATTCCAGCCCCACACGGCCAAGAGAAGAATGTCAAAAGCGCAAAATGTGACAAACTAGATGCACTCGACATGAGATCGCTGCATGAAATGGGATAACGTACGAGGAAGTATTGGCGGATCGAAAAGCTGAAGCTGGACGAGTAACCGAAGATGGAGAAGAGCATGCGGATGGGGTCGATGTACGACATGAAGACGAGAAACATCACGAGCTTGAGCATCATGTCGACAAACACGGCAATGCCCAAGTGGTTGGCCGTGGCCAAGATCGAGTCGAGCTTTATTTCGTCCGACACCGGCTCTTCGATGATGGCAATCGGCGACTGGTTCCGATGAAAGTCGTCGCCGTGGTTGGACGAAGTCGTGGATCGCGGCGTCATGGCAAACATGTGCTCCACGACCTCGTCTGGAAGCACCTCTGTCTCCATCTTTTCCTTTTCAGACGGACGCGCTTTGGAATTCAACGGCGCCAGACGCGGTCGCATGTCGACAATCGACCCTGGCCGTCGCAGGTGGAATGCCGACGTCGACGCTCTACCGCGGGATTGAGGCGTGATATGATACGGCTGGACTTGGGGTTCAGATCGCCGGGGCATCATGAGAATGCGTGGGGGTGCTGGAGATGGCTGATGGGAGTACAACGTCGTGCTGCTCGCAGGGAGTGACAGGCGAAATCGTGTTGGCAGCGGACGGGGAGTACTGGCGATTGGCGTCAGCGGAGTTCGCGGACTGGCTAGAGGTGGTGTGCCTGGGTAATCGTACGGCGATGGCCTCGCTTTCGAGTCACTCGAAAGTCTTGATGCATCCGAAACGCAGTCCAAGTCCACTCCTTCATCCATTGACGCCAGCATGCGGGGAGTGTCGGGTTGCACGCACGGATCATTGCGGTGGTGTATAGGGATGCCCCTGTCTGTCATTGTGGGCTAGAGCAGCAGGATCTCGCTATTTCGACGTGGGCACTGCGGCCGTATGCTGCGTTCGTCGAATGTCCAGTGTGGTAGTTGAATTACTTGATCACGACATGGTCCGAATTCCGGTGATGCCATTGGTTAAATAAACTCAACAATTCAATCGCCAATCATATTCGTCTATTGGTAACCCGCTGCGACACCTGCCAATCAAATGCGGCATACACTAGACTGGACATAGAAGACGATCTCGGATTGGTCGAAAAGATACGTGAAACCAACGTGCGCTCGTGCCTGGTTTATCTGATGTTGCGACGCATTTTGGCTCGGCATGGACACTGCCATGATGACGCCCATTGAATTTAACATTGTCGTGAAGATGATATCTGGTGCATGTGACGGACGAGACGAGACACACCGCAACACGCTCGCTTGCTTGAGGCAGGAAGCGACGACTGTTGACAAGCGAGAAACTGAGCTCTTCCCAACCCATCTGCATCCTGCTTCGACGAAGGAGATACGCCCATGGCCACAATCGAATCGTCAGCGTCGTGGCGTGGACTGTCGTGCTCGAACTCTATGATACCCAGTAGTTTTGTTCAAATACCCACTATCGCCTACTCCCTCTACGAGGATTCAGCCGCTCTCCCCCGCCTGCAGAATCGTACTGTACATGCACAGCCTCGTCAAGCGGCGGCCTCTCGTGGGTGCGCCAGCCATTCTGTCCAGTCCGTCAGGCGGCCCGGGCGTCATCTGCGCGCAAGCGACACTTTGAGTACTCCATATCAGGTCAGCCGAAACCAAGTATAGAGGAACATTATTGTCCACGAAGCATTCATCATCTCCAACATACTACAGCTTTGAACCTACTATGATTGATTACGAAGAGAAAAATGCGGTGAATTTATATTTTTATCGAGGTTTTAGTATTGATATGCAAAGTTTTTGCAATCTTTATAGTACAACGTAGTAATATGAAAACTATTGTATAGAAATGGGCATATACATCATTTTTTATGGGGCGGGGGGTCTCTTGTCGCTGTTCACAGTCGTTCGTCCTTCAACAATTTTGAATTGGCAAGTCCAGCACCGCCTTGAGATA